ACCTAGGCCGGTGGGTCAGGAGGATGAGCAGCGCATGGCTCTGAAGCATGGAGGGGGTTCTGTACAAGTGGACCAACTATCTCACAGGTTGGCAGCCTCATTGGTTTGTTTTAGATAATGGAATATTGTCCTACTATGATTCACAAGATGATGTTTGCAAAGGCAGCAAAGGAAGTATAAAGACAGCAGTTTGTGAAATTAAAGTCCATTCAGCAGACAACACAACAATGGAATTAATCATTCCAGGAGAGCAGCATTTCTACATGAAGGCGGTCAATGCAGCTGAGACAGAGGTGGCTGGTAGCTCTGGGGAGCTCAAGCCTGTTTTTGACTGACACTAGGACTAAAAAAGAAAAAGAAATAAGTGAAACCAGTGAATCTCTAAAAACCAAAATGTCTGAACTTCTCCTCTACTGTGACCTTTTAATGCAGCAAGTTCATACGATTCAAGAATTTGTTCACCATGAGAATCATTCATCTCCCAGCATAGAGAACATGAACGAAGCCTCTTCCCTACTTAGTGCCACATGTAATATGTTCATCACAACGCTTGAGGAATGTGTGAAGATAGCAAATGCCAAGTTTAAACCTGAGATGTTTCAGCTGTCCCATCCGGATCCCTTAGTTTCTCCTGTGTCACCTTCTCCTGTTCAAATGGTTGGAACTTACAGTTTTTCTTCTAGTAATATTCAATGCAGCTGAGACAGAGGTGTATTGCTTTTCCCCCAAAGTGTGAAGCCTGTTTGACTGACACTAGGACTAAAAAAGAAAAAGAAATAAGTGAAACCAGTGAATCTCTAAAAACCAAAATGTCTGAACTTCTCCTCTACTGTGACCTTTTAATGCAGCAAGTTCATACGATTCAAGAATTTGTTCACCATGAGAATCATTCATCTCCCAGCATAGAGAACATGAACGAAGCCTCTTCCCTACTTAGTGCCACATGTAATACGTTCATCACAACGCTTGAGGAATGTGTGAAGATAGCAAATGCCAAGTTTAAACCTGAGATGTTTCAGCTGTCCCATCCGGATCCCTTAGTTTCTCCTGTGTCACCTTCTCCTGTTCAAATGATGAAGCGTTCTGTCAGCCACCCTGGTCCTTGCAGTTCAGAGAGGAGTAGCCACTCTATAAAAGAACCAGCGTTTACACTTCACCGGCTCCCCCAGTGACGCCGAAGAACCTACTCAGATATAGACTCTTGTAATGATATCCCTCTTGAAGACCCAGATATGCCTGTTCACTGTTCAAGAAATACACTTAATGGGGATTTGGCATCAGCAACCATTCCTGAAGAAAGCAGACTTATGGCCAAAAAAAAATCTGAATTGGAAGATCCTCTTTCATCCGTTTCTTCCTGAGGAAACAGAAATGTCCAACTTCCTCTAAGTATTGCTATGCAAAAGCTGCTGTAATTAAACTATGTCATAGGGAGTAGTTTTTCCCTTAGGATTTCTCTGCACTTTATAGAATACTGTAAAACAAACAAAAAAACCCACATACCTTTGAAGTGTATTTTATCTTTATACTAGAGGCCCGGTGCACAAAAATTTGTGCACTCGGGGGGGAGGGGGTCCCCTCAGCCGGGCCTGTGCCCTCTCGCAGTCTGGGACCCCT